AAATATGTCGCATGTTAACAATTCTTCGCCCTTCTAAATTTTTCCACTGATCACTTTCATCGTCGTAAAACGAAGAAGGTAATATTAAATTATTGCTTACTTCACCACTTAATTCTCGATCATTAATGGGAGTTGAAGTTTCAAATTCAGGGAAATTCGGAACTGATGAAGAAGAATCATTTAGGTGTTCATTCTTTTAAATAAAAAAAGTTATAGAATGTATTCAAAAATATACATATAAAATTTAAAAAAATTATATATATATATATATTAATAATTATAGCTATATAAATTTGCATATTGATAACTAATAAAGATAAAATAAATAATTATAAATTATAATCTCATATATTATTTATACTCACTGTTTAACCACGATTTTTTAGTTCATAAAAAAACAATATATTATAATTACCTCATAATTTTTTTTATGATCTTGCCGTTTTTTACGTTTTGAGTTAGCCAAATTAGGTTTTTTCCGTAGTGTACATAAGTGTACATAGATTAAGACGTGCTTTTTACCAAAACGCCAATCTTCATTAATTTTAAAATTTAAAATTATAATCACTGACAAAAAAAATTAAACTTCACTGGTTAGTCTAGATGTCGTATGAAACTAGTGACTGAGTAGACTAATATTCTATTTTGTGTTATCGTTTAATCGTAAATTATCGTAAATTTATTTATAACTAGAGAACGATTCGAAGAGGAGCATGGTAGGTTTAAAATGTTCACGGTTCATATCACACCGAATTCAAACACCAAATTTTATATTGCATATTTTGCATATTTCGAAGGTTATTGCATATTTGTTCATAAATGCATATACCATGCATATTTAATGAGTTTTTAATAAATTAACTATTTTAATTCAAAGTAAATTTTGTAATCGCCTTGAATAGAGTACGAATAGAAATGATAGGCATTAAGTTTTAAAAATATTATTTTAAAAGATATGTATTTATTTATTTTTTTAAGTTTTTTATTAGTTTTTTGAGAGTAGGTAACTTCAAATTATCTAAAATATTTATTTTTAGTTTTTTTTTAAATTCGTATTCTCGTTTTTAAGTTACCTAAAAGTTTTAGATTGATTTAAATGATTTGAAATATAAAGCAGTGGATATTATCATTTTTTTTTGTTTTTGATAAAATATTTAGAATTTTATTTGGTATAAAATTGGGGATTTTTTTTAAAAAAAAAAACACATTTTGTAAAGTGTAACAAAATGCTTATAATTGCATATTTAGCCACTTTTTTTTTGCATATTTGCATCTTATTTGACACTTTTTAAATGCAAATAAATCCGGGCTCTACTTATAACCATAATATATTTTATACTTCACAATTACAATCCATTATCATTTTTATTTCCGTAGTCGTTAGCTCTAATTGATTTATAATCGTTCAGATTACGGGTGTTGGCTACTAAGATTCTTAGAAATGTTCCAACGCCCATATACGTATGCACAAGTTAATGGAACGAAGAAAATATTTTTGCTCCGGTTGTAGGGCAGAAATTTGATGCAAACCGTACCAAAAGAGAAATAAAAATTCACCTAGTATCGATTGACTTATATTTATTTTGAAAACATGATTGAATTCGTTCGTCTCTTTTCTAGGTTTGCTCGGAAATAGATTTACTTTTTTTTAGTTATTGTAGTATGATACATAGTACGTTTATATTTTTCTCAAAATAAACGTATACTTGACTTAGTTGTAGATAGCGAAAAAATTAAAAATATGAGATTCTACTTCCGAGAAAACTTAGAAAAGAGGAAGACAAACCAAAATTAGTTATTCAAAATTTAAAATGAGCTACTGGAAGTATGTTAAATTTACTTTCGCTTATTAAGTTGAAAGTATGAAAAAAAATTGTTGCCCCAGCCCCCTTAATAAAATGTTCATTTTAATTATTATCGTAGTTCCGGGAATTTGTATTTTAGTCAATGTACGATTAACGATAACGGATTACACACACTAATGTTCATTTACTACTCACACATTGACACAGCCCAAATGTTCATGTGATATAAAATGCCTAAATATTACTCCTTAAAACATGCTACGCTCCAGCCCCCTTAAAAGGTACAGTTATAAATTCAACGATATAATATGGCTTTACCTAAAACTACTCATGCATTAGATAGTTTGCATCGTAGGTTGTACCTACGTAAATACATTCAAGAACAACGAGAAATTGGAAAAGAGATTTTTTTCCGCGGTAAATATTATTGAAAATGTTACAGATAGGTCAAACAATAAAAAACAATCAAAAATTTCAGAGTTCTTTAAAAAAATAGTTCTACTTTATTCATTACATTGTATTTTCTTTATTACATATAATTTATACATATACATATTTATTACTTTATACTTTTTTTAAATTTTAATACAATATACATACCTACATGTATTATACATTTTTTAGTAAATATATAAATAAATACAATAATAAAATGAAGTCTTTGTGTTTTAAATGAAAAAATATTTCCGGTAACTCGAATTTTTTTTTGCCCCCAACTGATTCGAACTATCGAGGTGCAAATTATAAATCAGGACGCAACTTGTACATGTCAAGAGAATACCGCAAACACAACTCGGATGTTTCGTGAGAAAACCACCGATGAAATTCAGAAAAAATATTATTTATGGGTGCTATTCAAATCGGTCTGTTAATTAAATTTTAAATATAATGAGTTTTTGATAACTGATAATAAATAAAATATTTCTTTACTAATTTTTTTTTTGTCATGTTATTAATGTTTAAGTCAGTTTTATTCCGAGTACCAATGGCGCCGGACAGTTATAAGTACTTTTATAGAGCAGTTTGCCCCAGTATTTAACTTTGTGATGATTTAATTTACTATATAATCATGTTGTCGGTCATTATTTTGCTCTAACTTAGCAAGTGGTGATGGAAACTAATTTGTATATTTCGCCCCAATAAATAAAATATAAGTCGGTGCCATTGCCGAGTAATCTAGTCCACTGACGTACCTGTAGGGGGGACATTCCTCCATGGGCCGTATAATATACGTAGGTACATTGTTATTAATTGTTTTTAGTGTTTTTGCAATTGTCTTGATTTTTTTTTTCATGAAGTAATTAATATTACGAGTGTGATATATTGATAACCCGGACAAACCCATAGATTTTAAAATTTCCTTGTTATCTAATGTTCGAACCTGATCAAAATATTTAGTGTTATCATTTCGTTTTGGCGATTTTATAAATCTAGATAGTATCTACCTTCTACATGTTATTATCTAATTATCTGTATTTACTATTTGTTTTATCCTTGTACTGTCGACTAAAACATGGCGACGCTCAAAAATAGGCCAGGATCGTTTATGCGGGCTTGCTAACTGTTGCACATTTATAATGAAATAAGTATACCAGTTGATGATTTTATTAAATGATTTTCTCATATGAAAAATCGGAGGTTAGACTTTATATTAGTAACATAAATTATATTATATTTAAATAAATAAAAATGTCTTATTTTATGTACTAAAATATTATATCTTATAAATATAAAAAAAGCCCAATTACTCGTGTATATTAATAAAATTGTTTTAGCTGTGACTAACGTACACTTTGTTGAGTAATTTTATATTTTAAAAGTAGGTGAAAATATATTTTGCTAGAAGTTTAAATAAAATTATGATTAGTTACCTACCTGGTTTGGCTCGACTGAGATTTTCAGTTCCAAACTACTCGTATAGGTTGGCAACGTTAATATTAATTTTAAGTAAATGAAAAATTAAAAATTATTGGACTTAAATTGTCAATTATTGTTAAAATTAATAAACAGTGATTTCCTCTTGCAATTGTTCGAAAGTCTAAAAAAATCGATACGTGTAGTGGCAATGAGAACAACATTATTGTTATTTTTTCAATAACTGTTATATTTTTAGAAAATATCCATATGACTGTTTCACATAAACGACATTTATCATAAATCAAAACATATTTTTATATAAAACGTATTTAAATAATTCTACCAAATATCTAAACTCTCGATCTTCAAAAAAAGCAATCCTAGGCACTAGCCTCATAGCTTACTTCTAAACACGCCACTGTTTATAATTTATATATATAAATATAATAATATAATATAATAATAATATATATTTATATATATTTTATTTTTTGGACAATTATCATTGCGATGTCTATGCGCAGAAAATGAGAAGTTCCGTTAATCTTTATGTACTAATATTATTAACCTCTCAATATGACATTATTGACTACTCATAGTAATCACATGTTGATATTGCATACAGTAACTTCGTTCAACCTGGCGTTAAGCGTCCATAACACATCTTTGAGAAGTTAACAGGCACTTATTCGTAACTTCTCAACCGTCAGTGTGACAACTATGGGACTACTATGCTATAGGATTTTGCATACCGGGTATACATTAAGTTTTCAACTAGTATTTTCATTTGTATTTTGCATTTTGACATACAAATTATAAGTATTTAAGATTATTTATTTATTGATTAATTTTACAAATTTTAGTATAGGTATTTATATAATTAATAATTTTATATCGATAAATGTTAATTCTAAAATACACTATGTAGAATAATGCTTCTCAAACATTGCATAACGTATACATATTCTATTATTTCTATATGACGCTGATTCATAGGTAAACAAAAATTTTCATTCTCTCTCCAATGATAGATTTTTGAAGGACACTATTTTTTTTTTTAAAGAAATGTAAACATCTGAAACTGAATTCTTTAACGAAAGAACACAAAATACGATTGTTATATAATTATAACACAGTGCATTATCGCTTTAAGAGGCACTTCAATTATTTTATCTTCGTTTAAATATTTAGAATTACATAAAACATAGATTGTGCAATCTCTATTCAATTGTAATATATTATTACAATAATATAGTATAGAATAGTACTTACAGTAGAATGCATAAAATAATGAAGTACCTATAAAGTATTTATTTTGAAATTGGTTTCGAAAAATGCTGTATTTTTTCCAATAAAATGTTGAACAATAAACTTAAATGTAAGTATGAATCATATTACATAACTTACCGACTAAATATTATTTTTATTACTTACAGATTTATGGATAATCTTGACGTTAAGTTTAATTTTGGTGCTGCTTACGATATTCATTGCAGCGATGATCATTAAAATTGGTCCGAGTAATTTTATTGATAAATGTTTGGAACTTTTGGAATCTAAAAGAGAAACCTGGGTAATTTTGGTTGCTGGTTCAAAAGGCTGGTATAATTACAGACATCAGGTATAAAAATATATTTTTGATGTTTGTTATTATCATTAAACTCATCACGTATTCTAGTCAAATATGAATAAATTAAGGAAACTAATAATGACTCTAGTTTTTAGGCTGATGTTGCTCATGCTTACCAAATATTATTAAATAATGGTTTGCGGACTGACCATATAATTGTGATGATGACAGATGATGTGGCCTATGATATCGAGTATGTTCATTATTAGTAATATTTTTAAAAACAAATTTACTGAAGTTTTTATATTTTTTTTTAATATAAGTAAAAATACGAGTAACTTTTCTTCATTAAAAGAAATGTAATTCTACATTTAATAATTTTTATTAAAAACGTATTATACGAGGAAGTAATGCATATATGTTCTTTTAAATACAGAAATCCGTTTCCAGGACAGCTGTTCAACAGTCCTACTGGTTCAAATGTACATCAAGGTCTACGAGTTGACTATAATGGTGAAGTAGGTAAAATAATTTATAAATTATGTTATATCATGACTGATGATTAATTTCTATAGGATGTAAATAGTGACAATTTTTTGCATGTTTTAACTGGAAACAAGATAGCTATGCAAAATATTGGTTCAGGTCGTGTAATTGAAAGGTAAGACATATTACTGTTATCGTATGGTATGATTTTTAGAAACGATGGTCAACATTGTTAGCGGATACATGTATATTATGTTATATAGTAAAGAAAGAGATAATATTTTTGTGAATTTCGTCGGTCATGGATCTTCGGGTATATTAGCGTTTCCTAAAGATTACCTATACGCAGACGAACTAAACATTACATTAAATTCTATGTATAAAAGTGGCAAATTTCACAGAGTAAGATTTTAAAATGTAGTTATTTTTCATCATTGATATAGGGCACTTAAAAATATAATAATTTATGCTTATACATTTATGCTTATATGCAATCATTTTAGATGCTTTTGTATGTAGAAGCGTGTAAAGCTGGTTCTTTATTCGATGGTATTCTGAGTGAATCCAGTAACAGTAAGGATACTTTAAAAATTACATAATTTTTAATTCTAAAAGTATTATAACTATGATAAATACATAATAGATAAATAATCGATATTATGTTAGTATTTGCTGTCACTGCAGCCGGACCTAGGGAAAGTTCATGGTCAATATATTGCAGTGGTGATGATGACAACGAAACATCTATTATATGTTTAGGCGATGAATTCAGTGTTACGTGGATCGAAGATCAAGATAATGTAACATTTTATTTTTATTTAAAACAGAATATTGGATAAAATATAATTTTAACATAATATTATAACGGTTTATAGGTGAAGATCGGTGTATTTTATCCGGGGCAAGTAAATGAATTTTTCGAAACAAGAACCGTTCTAAATCATTTTAACCATGTAAGGAATTTAGTAAAATTAAGTAATGTTATGCCATATGGAGATTTTAATGTTGGTCAGGATAAACTGTCCTCATATATTGGAAAACCATCCGGAGTATTTTCAACAAATTTTAATCACTATAACACTCAATCTTCAACAAAAAATAATGTACGTATATCTAATTTACATAATATGCATATATATATATATATATGTACTTATGATGCTGATTATTAACCATTTTAAATACTATAACGAGTGGTTTTTATTGTTTAACATTAATTTTCATTGTTAGTTTATATATATATTAAAAAACATTATAAATACTCGTATATAATTCAAAGTAATCATAATTGTTATTTAGTTCTGAGTAATTTTCCAGTGTCTATGCGTAAAAATTGATTAAAAACAAATAATTAATTGCTGATTCAATAGAACGTAATGAATGATTCGATATTTTTGAAAAAATTGTCTACTTCATATTAAGATTCGGAAAAACCTATTTGAAGTAAATAAGTAAATCATTAAAAAATTATTAAGATTCTTGTTTCTAACTATTATTAAATCAGATAATCAAACTTCTATAAATAATTATTGTCCAATATCCAAATTAAGCACAGTGTCGAATCTTTTTGAAAACTTGGTTGAGCCTAAAAAATCAGAGTTATACAAAAACATTATAATAAATGATCAGCATGGCTTTCAATCACAAAAATCGATTGTTTAGTATATTATATTCAAGTTCTTAGTATCATTGAAAAAAAGGGATAAGTTAACACCATCTCACTTAGTACCATACTGACTTTCGTAGCGCATTCGACAAAATAAAGCAGTGATCCACATACTGTTAATTAATAAACTTATTATTCTTGGCATTAGTGACCCAATATTATTTTGATTAAGTTCATATTTAAGGGAGAACGTAACAGTTAATAAGTTTTAGCAAGATTTCTACTCCATCCGCCATAACTTTTGGTATCCCCATAGTGGACATCTATCATTTTTGTTTTTTTTATTATTTATGAACGACGTATAATATATGTTTAATTTTTGTAAAATGTCGCTGTTTGCTGATGACCTGAAAATGCATATCGAGATTAATTCTGTATATATCGTATATATTGTTGGATCTTGTAATTTTTTTGAATTGGTATGCCATAAGTAGATTAAAAATAAATATCGATAAATGAGTGTCCATATCGTTCACCAGACTTAAAAATACTTTAATATTTAACAACTCTATAAACAGCCTTATTTTTAAATCAGTTTCTTTTATTCAAAATCTAAGCGTATGCTGGAATTCGTTAAACGACAATGTTGGGATTTCAACAATATTATTTGGTTGTACTGCTCACCAGTTCATTAATTTATTGAGTATGAATTTATAATATGAAGTTTTTACCAAGGTAGTCTGATTCAACGTTTTATAATGTCCAATCCTGTTTTTAAAGTATATATCATATACATTTAAATTAAACTATTTAGCTAACTTAAGACTCGAACTTGTTTTATATTCTTATATATGCAGACATAATAATACATTATTTATTCACAAATGATTAAACAACAAAATAAGCTGTTCTGAAATATTTAATATAGTAAGCTAGTATATTTGCATTTTTAATTCTCGTTTCACGATTAAATTTTACGTACTTTTCTATTCATAACGATATAGTTTTGATGAGCCTTATGTCGTACGAAAATGAGATTGCAACAGTATTGCTTTTGACTTTAATTTTGATAACGAATTTAAACTTCACTGTTTGTACCTCGGTTTTGAATAAATAACTGATATTTACTATTAATTTTAATACTTTACAGTTATTTTAATATTCTATAGTTAATGTTCTATATTTACTGTTTTTTCTTCTTTTGTTTATTGTAATATTATATAGGTTCACTTTTTGTTCGAATGGACGTTAATAAATAAATAAAAAATATTACAATATTTGTTACAAAAACTAAGAAATACATTTTTAACATTAAATGATTGCTTTATGATTTGGATACGATAAGTCGGTATACCTTTAGTTAACTAACATAATAAGTGTTACTACTACTACTACTACTTGCATATGGCTTTATTAGATCAGCAAAAATAACACATAACATATTTATAAGTAGAGCACGAATTTCTATGCAACCGCATAATTTTTTCCTTTCAATATTTTTGGATTTTTGTCAGTTATTTCCACGAATCATCATAATTTGAAGCTAATGGTGAATTTTTTTTTTTGCATATTTCTGCATATTTAGAGGTTATTGCATATTTTTACATATTTTGGCAAAATTCAAAATTTATTGCATATTGAAATTAAAATTTAAAAAAAAATTTATAAAATAATATTTTGTCAAGTAGAAAAATTAAAAATAAATTTCATAGTCACTAAATAATAATTTATGTACATATTTGTTATAAAATAAATAATCAATTACGACGTAAACTTAATCACTCTTGCTGTGTCAGTCGATTATCGACATACCACTTGCTTCAAATATGCCTCAATAACTTCGGTTGACATCGAGGATTCGTTTTCAGTCTTTAAAAATATGTTAACCGATAAACGACACAGCTTTACAGAAGAAACTTGAAATGCATATGATTTTTTATTTTAATAATAAATAAAATTTTAAAAATAAATTAAGTTCAGAATAATCCCTAAATTTTTTTGTATTAAGTATTTAAATAATTAATTTTTATAAGTTCAATTATAAATTTTAAATAAATAAAAAATTCTTGCATATTTTTTTCATATTTTCATAATTTTTACTGCATATTTTTTGCATATTTTCATGATTTTTACTGCACATTATATGGCATATTTTGATACTTTTAAGTGCATACAAATCCGCGTTCTATTTATAAGGAAAATAATAAATAATTGATAATAAATATATAGACAATACTACAATTGTTTGTATTTTAATATTACATAATATTTTAATTTGTGTTATATTTTAACAGAACACAAATGAAAAAGAAAAAAATTTAAAAAATTCAACTAAATTATATCAGCTTAGTAAAAATCGCATCGGAGTGAATAATACTATGAACAAACGGAAACAATACTCTGAAAATAATAAAATTGTAAGTACTCGTATAACATAATAAAAATTTAATTTGATTTTGTTTAAAAAAATAATAATAAAATTTAGATGAAAAACATTATGGATCAAATATTTGATGCAATTCTTCAAGGTGTAATAAAACGATGGCCAGGATTTATTGGCAATATTAATGAATTAAAAAAGCTTCCTCGAAATTTGCCACTGAATGTATTTCCATGTTATAGAAGAAATTTGGATCTCATCAATGAAAACTGCTTTTCATTACCTAAGGTAAACTATTTATTTTATGAATAATGAATACCAAATTAATTGGATTCCATGAAAATTGTACTATCTATTAAAAACTCCAATCCAACAATAATTAATTTGATGGTGAGAAGCTTGGGAGGTAGATACTTTAACTAATATATTTATTTATTTTTTATAATGTATACAAAATTGATATTAGCGATGACACATAATATGTTATTGAAATTATATATATTACATCTTAAATAATGACATTATTTTCAATATTTCAATTTAGAAAATTATTCGTTTAAAATATTATAAGCAGAAAAAAAAAATATTTCGTTTTAAAACCATATATTACTATGTTTCTAAGTGATCCAAATGTAGTAACTCGGTAGGTAGTTAAAATAATAATGTTTAAATGAAAGTTGCATTTCAAATATTTTATAATTTACTCAGGCACTTAACAACATTAAGCAATAAAATGTTCACAGTAATAGACTTTTAAAATTGAAAAATAATAATATTTGCATCCAAGTTAAATTTTTCTTACAATTTACAGAATTTATACGCACTCAACGCAATCCATATATTTTTCAATCTATGTACAAGAGTTATAGACAGTAATGAATGGACTCAAGTACAGTTCGATGTGACGTTCAATGAAGTTGTACTCAATGTCTGTTCGAAAAATTCAACATTTTCAAATTTACTTAAAATGACCAATATTTATTGATTTACATTTTGTTTGTTATATAGTTATTATTGAGTTACTACAATTCAAAATAATAATGTTTGATAATTGTACACGTTTATGTTAAGCACCTACATATATTTATTTTTAATTATAAGTGTGCCAATAAATTGCCTTTTTCTAGTAGGTGTTCTATTATTGACTTTAAAATAATAGTGCTTAGTAAAATATTCTGTAATATAAAGTTCTGAACTTATGACTAACACTTTTACATTAGATACATATTTTATGGAATTAATTTGATCTTTTTATAACACCCCGTTTTTAACAATAAAATGTAATAATTATTGTTACAATATAGTTTCATATGTAACTGTAGAAGATAAATTTAGGATATCAGTTAAATAAAAACGACCATTTGGGTCTGTGCATTTTATACTGACGTTTAAAACTATATTTACAATGAAATATATGAGGATTACGTTCGTTACCTATTCAATATAAATGTTGAATTGTTTTAATTTTAATTTTCTTTTAATGTACTCAGGGGCAGATTGGCCCACTGTGCTACTGTTCCACAGCACAGTAGGCCGCGGCCGTGGAAATTTTTTTTACTAAGATTGCAGAATAGTGAACAAATTATCTGTTTATAGCATCTTGGTACCTAATTATATTTTTTAAATGATCCCAAGGCACAATTATAGAAAATCCTATATATATATATATATATAATTAATTATATTATACTGAAATCTAGTATGAATCAGATTTTTGGTAGTAAATCTAGTATTTACCGTGCTTAATGCAGTGGCATATATAGGTTTTTATTTTGGAGGGGGCCGATTATGTACTTGATTTTTGGGGTGAAGCACACTATTACGATAAAAATTACTTTAATACTATAAGACTTCTTGACTGTCTTTACACCATCAGAGACATAAGAAACTCACTTTTTTTAATGAATTATAATTTTTTAAAATTATAAAAACTACATAGTAAAAAACAATTTCTTTATTATAGTCACTTAAACTTCACCGCATATTTTCTTAAAGGAATGAACATATTTTATAAATATAAAATTTTAAATTATCGCATAAGCAACATTTTCAGTGTCGCAACAAATTTTTGGAAACCTTTAAGTTAATTAATCATTAATTTGTCAGCATTAAGACATATCCATGTTAAAAATAACAATCTTTAACAATGGGGTTTTGCATTTCAGGGGAGGAGGCCTGGGCCCCCTCGGCTCCCCTATAAATACGCCCCTGGCTTCATGCATATCATATATTATGTATATATTATATATTTATACACATGTGTTATAATAATTAATGTTATCACAGATGACAGAATAAATAAATTGATAACCAAGCCTGTAACCGTATGACTGTATTATATTCTGTGGTATTGTTCTATCGTGATACCTGTTTTTGGCTTTTGTTTATCAAAATAGTATGCTGTCTGAGTTTTTCTAATGGCGGGCGACATAGGCGCAACTAGAAGCCAAACACTGGGGGTGCTAAAATTATGTAGAGGACACAGACCCGTGGGGGCTATGCCCCCACACCCCCAAATACCATATTTAAATCTTATAATTACTATAACCATTCTTAAATGAACCATAAAAACATGGCACACAATATTTAAGTATACTAACAGTAATATACCTGATATTACATATATTATATTATTTAGGCGATACAAATAAAAAAATCTATTTTATAATTTGTTAAAATTATTATGTATTAATAATATAATTTAAAATTTTTAGCAGTTACTTTTATAAGGTACATTTTATAACTAAATATATAATTCAAAATTCTTACATGTCATACTAATATTATTTTTCTTTTAGTAGTTGAATATTTTTCTAGTATTTCTGATGAAGTAATTTTATTAACAATATCTCTTTCAATATTCAATATTGATAAATCTGTGAAACGCTGTTGCTCCATACTTGCCCTTAGCCAGTTTTTTAGACGACGCATTGAGGAAAAGCTTCTTTCACAAGTAGCAGAACTCACCGGAATTGTAAGAGCAACTTGTAACATTTTATACACGTTTGGAAATGTGGACTCCTTACAAATATCTTTAGTAACATCATGATTATAATTGGAAGGTAAGCAGTTCTTTATAACAAGCATTTCCGCTTTCAACAAATTCAAATTGATATTCATAACAACCTTAAATTAAAATTAATTTATTTATTATTATTAGTACATAACAAAAATCACTTGCATTGAAATATAACACACTTTATAATGATTTATAAAGTATTGACTCTTTTCATAGTCCATTTCCATAAAACAATCAATCGAACTAGCCATTTCAAGACTTTCATCTGAAAATCTGAATTTTAGGTTATTGATAATAGTGTCAATTATAGGAAAGTAAACTGAGCGCCTCCAATACACTTCTACTGAATCTGTAGCATTAATTTGATCATCCTGTTCAGCACCTGTTGTTGTTTCCAAATGGAATTCCCTTAAATGAATCGGTTGTGCTCTTATACGTTTTGATCCTTTATAATCATTAACAATAATTTAACATTTGCTCAATAAATAATTTTAATTACATATGAATTTAATACAAATAATATTTTTTTAAACAAACCAATGTGATGAACTTTTAATTCTATATTATATTTCTTAGATAGCTCTAAAACTGTCGACCATAATTTTGAAAACTCATCATCAGACCTTAGGCATGTAAATGATTGGATGACCCCATTAATCACATTTCTTGCTTTACCTAAAGTTGCTGTCTTAGATTGTAAAGAAGTACTTAGAATATTTATAATGCTCAAAACTTCTTTTAATATAATTATAACAACAAGGAATTGACACTTTTGTATCTGGTTTAGAATACCTATAAAAATTAATGAACTCATAATTGTCAAATATCATAGATAATAAAAATATCAATCAATTTGCATTACCTATAGCTTCAACAACATCTTTATCTGCTTGAACTTCAACTTCATTGTTCAAAAAATTTAAAATTGCAGAATAATTGTTCAACATTGATTCACAATTCTTATATCTGCAAATCCAGCGTGTATCACACACCCTGAGAATATTACCCTTCTTTAACCCTAATTGTAATTGAATTTTAACTAACTCAGAACTGTTGGACGGGCGAGAAAAGTGTACGTATACAGACTCAAGTATGTTGAAAACACTTCGAGCAATCTACAAAAAATTTAAAAAGTAATTCTATAAATTCACATAAATAAGATTAAAGATTATAATATTGTAAAGTACATACTTTGATTCCTTTACACATGTCCACAACAACTAAATTCAGTCGATGTGCCATACAGTGTGTATAAAGTGCACAAGGGTAATGCTCTTTGATTTTTGCCTGCACCCCTCCAAGACAACCCGTCATAACGCTTGCTCCATCATAGGACTGAGCTACTATGTATCAAGTTGACATGTTAATTTTTAATTTTTCAAAACATTTGAAAATGGCTGCAACAATATGGTTAGCGTCCTGTCCACTGGAGACATCCACAAACTCTAAGAATCTTTCAACTATATCAAGACCAATCACATATCTAACGCAAATACTTAATTGTTCTTGTTTATAAGATCTAAACAATTTTAATTTAATTTTAATAATAAAAACAGATTACAGGCAAATGTTAAACAATTTTTAATTTACCTGGCTTCATCAACCATAATAGCAAAAATTCCAGTATTTATAATTTCTTTAATTATTTTTTCCCTAGCATAATCAGCACTTATTTGAATGATTTCTTCTTGTACTTTCCAACTTGTGTGATTGATTTTAATATCATAATAATTTTTAAAATTTGGAACACATTTTGAAAACACATTGCACAGTTCTTTGAAATTACCTTGAATATATTATTTATTACTTAATGAAATCAAGTTTTTTTTACTTTTTTATTAATATTATATTACCTTGGTTTAAAGAATCAGATGTCTCAGAATGTCCCCGTAATGCTACACCTTGTTTACCAAGATACAAAACAATTTCAATTAATTGGGCCATATAAGCTCTATTTTCTGCAATTTGATTGTGGTGAGCATCTGATAATTTGGCCATTATGGAACCAGATTGTTTGCTTGTTGTATATGCAACCATTTTTGTCAAATTTGTTTTATGTACATCACTGTTTTGATGTTTCCCTATTTTTACAATAAACTGAAAGACACCAAAATTAATTTAATTAACAATAAAGAAATTAATTCCTTAACACACTAAATAGTAGGTATATTCACATTTATATAGTTATCAATTAATAGCTTTTAATAAAACTTATGTTTTAAGTATACAAATATATCCTATGCACAACTAGTTATGAATGTATACATAATTATTGATAGATTAATCCTTCATTAAAAAAAAAATTAATTTAATTTAATCAATTATAGATTTCTATAAAAATTTGTAAAATTAAATAAGTAACTTACTTTTTGCCAATTGTTACATCCAGTTTTTGTCCATATATCTTCAACTTTGCTAGTACCGAACATTCGGCAAACAAAACAAAACGCAGCATTACATTTTATGCTGTACTCTAACCATTCATAATTTGTATACCATTCACTTTGGAATGACCTATACTGCTTTCCAAATTTTGTTTTTATGTAAGCCTATAAGGATTCAAATAAACTTATGAGGTCCATGATATGAATGTTTATTTATTTTTATAATGGTAAAGTTAACAATTGAAAATATATTTTAAACATTTTTATATTTAAATTACTTAATTTAAAATATTCCTCAATATAAAATATTTTATTTGATAAATATTAATTTAATAATAAAATAGCTAATGTAGTAATGTATAATGGTTTTATATACACCATAATACATTCTATTTTAGCAAAATCTTCCATAGTATTAATATATTTTCTAAAAATCAAAAAGAAACTTACAGAGAGAACAGGGCGACATGGTCCAGTATCCAATGTACCTAAGTCAGCTAAACTTAAACCAGAATACGTTGCAATGTTTGAATTTGACTGTGGCGATTTTTCACATTCTTTAATATAAAACCATTTGAAAAAAACTTGTTTATTATAAAATTTTAACAAGTAAAGTATAGTGCCCTGCTCCATAAAAATTAAATAACAATACATTGTTTAGTAAAAATAAATATTATGACAAATGCAAAACTGGCTTACTTTGAAATAAATTGTTTTGAATAAAAAAAAGTGCAAAAAGTATAAAAGTAAAAGTTATCAATTTAACATAAACTACGAAGAATTAAGTCTTTTAATTCCAAAAAACGCAGAAGGATTGAACTTCAATACAATACTACGTACAAAAACCAAAAAAAAAAAAAAAAAATTAAGTTTAAATATAAAACCTTTTAAGCTAATTTACTCCCTCTAATGTATTGATGGAATAGGCTACTATTGCGATGAGCAGTTCAATTATTTTAATATTATATAGGTACCTGGAAGTGCCACTGTAATATTTCCTTTTAATTCACATGATGAACTTTGACGAGTGGTTCCAGGGTCGTCAATATTTTCAATATTTTCATCTTCTATAGAGTGATTATTTTTTTTGTTTTTTTTATTAAATCTATTAAAAATACTATACATTTTGAAATTTATATTATAGGTTACAGTTAAAACACTTCACATGAGAAAACAAAATATATTTTATTACAACCGTCAACCGTACAGTAATGGGTTTAGAAAAT